GCCGGGTCTGTTGCTGGCAGTTTTCATCAACTTGACAGAAACGAGTCACCTGGGAAGAACGAGCTGAGCATCACTTGAAGGACTGTCTCCATCAGCCTGCTCTTGGCTGCCTGTCTGGGGAGCATGTTCTTGATTGACGGTTGATTGATGTGGGAAAGGCCCAGCTCTGGGCAGGCAATGCTGCCCTTAGGCAGGTGTTCCTGAGTGGTATGAGACAGGTTGAACAAGCCATTGTGAGCAAGCCAGTAAGCGGCATTCTTCCGTGGTCTCTGCTTCAGTTCCTGCCTCCGGGTTACTAGCTTGAGCCCTTGCCTTGACGTCCCTCAATGACTGACTGTAATCTGTAAGCCAAATAAACACCTTCCCCGCCAAGCTGCTTTTAGTCCGTGTTTTATCACAGCAAAAGAGGAGCGAACTAGGACAACTGTAAACCTCACTGCTTGGGAGGCTGAGGCAGGAAGACGGCAAACCCAAGGCCTTTCTAGGCTACAGAGTGGGTTCAGGACCAGCCCAGGCATCTCAGTGAGCCCTTTTTGCCCAAATGATAAATAAGGCTGTTGATGTAACTTAGTTGATAAAGTGTTTATTGAGCATGCGCGAAGCCCTGGGTTTGATCTCCAGTATCACATAAGCCAGGCTTGGTGCCAAATGCATGCCATTGCAGCACTAGGGAGGCAGAAGCAGGAGGATCAGGAGTTCAAAACCAGCCTGGGTAATATGAGACTGTCTCAAAAATAAAATAAGAGGCTAGTGAGATGGCCCAGTGGGTAAAGATGTGCCACCCAGTCTGCTGATCTGAGGAGTGGGAAGAGAAAATCGACTCCCAGTGGTCCTCCAGCTGGATCTCTACTCTTTTGCTCCCCACTGCCCGGGACTCTGTTCTGTCTCCTGGCTTTGACATCCATCGCCTGTGTGTCCAGCACATCTCCTATGAGAACACAAGAAGGAGCCCTTACCCTGGAATTCCAGATCCGAGTAGCTGCCCGCTGGCTGCTTCCTCTGGAATACTGAGTCAGCTCAAACTTCATGTGTCCAGACTCAAACTCCCAACCCTCCCTGGAAACCGGCCCCACCTGGAACCTTTTCAGCAAATGGCACCTCCACTCTTTCAGTTGCTCAAGCCTCAGGGACCCCTGGCCACCTGTCTTCCTGCCCAAACCACATCCAAACCCACCTGCAGGTCCTGCCATCTCTACCTGCCCCTCCCTTAACAAAAAGCAACAACAAAAAAACCCCACCAAATTCCAATCGCTTCTCACCTCTCCCAATCCACTATTATCAATCACTTAGCTTCTCCCTGCTGCTTTGGAACTCTGTCCCCCCCCGTGCCCCCCACTGTCTGTTCTTAACACAGCAGCCGAAGCAATCTTGTTAAAACCTGCCTTCCCATCCCAGCTCTGCTGTCCTAACCTCACAACGGGGTACCACCTCACTGGGGGCAAATCTGAAGCCCTTCCAGTCAAGCTCTGCATGATCTGCCCTCCACGCACGCCCTGCCACCTCTCTGGTCCCAACTCAGTATTCTAGCCTCTAACAACCTCCTCCAACAGCCCCCTCACGCCCCCCCTTCTCTAACCTGCGTTCTAGCCACACCGCTCTCTTTCCTAGCCCCCTCTATTTTTTGAGCTAGCTGTTCTTCTACCTGGGTGCCCCTCCCCCAACCGAGAGCCTCGCCCCAACAGGTGTCTGTTCAAACACGAAGTCATCAACGAGGCCTTCTTTGATCGTGCTGTTTACGCCAGTCACCGCCCTTCACACTGCTTCCCGTCTCTGAAATTGTGTCTGATACTCTGTCCTGTTAGCTGTGCCCCCTCCTGCCTCCCTCTAGAAGCTGAGCGCGTAACAATGGGGATTTTTGGATTTTTTTGTTTTTTCCTGCCCTATCCTCTCTGCCCAGAATAGTCAGGCATATATCAGGCACTCAGCAAATATTTATTGACCGAATGAATGGCATCAGGGTGAGACCTACGAGCTCTCAACAGGCAGCCTGGGCCTGGAAATGCTCTCTCTAGCTTCGACTCTGCACTTGCTGAGTCATGGGTTGTCCACCTGGAGAGCTGAGACGGTCCTTTGCCGCAGGAGCATTCTAGAATGTGTGATGTTCGTGTTGCTGTGGGAGGGGAGAGTGCTCGAACCTTCCTTCCAGTCAAGACCTGGGTTGGGTCTTTAGTGGTTTTAAAATGAAAAGTAGGTTTCAGGATTGGACTGGGTGAGACTCTGGGAAGCCCAGGTCCAGCCCTGTCTGCTGGGTAGAGAGGCCTGACCACTCAGCTGGGCTTCCCCTGTGGGAGCTGTCCTTGTGAGGGTGTCATGGGAGGCACTAAAGACACTATGCTTGAGGGCACATGGAGGAGCATCAGGAGTTCAAGGCTAGGAGGCTACAACAATGAGGCCAGCACCAGCCCAGATTACAGGAAACCCCCTTTAACAACAATGGACATGAGAAAAAGAAGGCTCAAGGCAGACCCTGTGAAGGGTAGCGGAGAGGTCTTCTGTGGAGCTAACTTGGCCTCACACAGCCCTCAAGCAGGATGGTTAGGCCTCCACACAGACCTCCCCCATTCCTACAGCTGACCTGCGGACAGAGTGGGCTGCCTTTTGGCTGAGCACAGCCCAGTCCTCCTCCCTTTTCTGGGCCTTGCCACAGCGCCCTGCTTGTTTCCCCCCAAATAAATGGCTGAGCATACTGGGCTGGCAATAACCCCTTGAAATCAGTTGCTATCACAGTTAACAACCAGTTTGGCTTCAGTTCAGGCTGTTAACTATCAAACCACTAAGTGTGGTAATGATTGATTCTTGGCCAGTTGCAGCTTGAGTGGGCTGTAAAACCCCATTAGTGAGGGCTCTGTGGAGGCAGCAACTCAAAGATAAACAAATTGCTGGGTGCTCCAGCCTGGTTTCAGCCTACTGCTCTGTGCTCAAGCTCCCATGGGTCCCTGGCCTGGGGAAAAGCTTCTCCAGGCAGCCTCGGCAGATTCCCACCCTCCTGCCCACCTGCCTGCCTTTCCCGTCTCGGGGCAGGGCTGGCCCTCTAAGTGCTCACCTCTTCTACCTAGCCGCAAACACAGTTCGGTTCCTGCGGTACCTCCGAAGACTCAGGTGCTCCTAGGCCAGAGGCTTGGGGCTTAGCTTTGGCCTAGCCGCCGACCACCCTTGGCCCAGCCAGGCCTCACTTTGTAGCCGGGATCACAGGCGGAGAGCCTGACATTCCATCACCCCCCTAGACACCCTCCCACCCCACGTCTTTCCCCAGGAATTGCTCTCAAACAAATGCAATGTGGGTAATTACTGGGCTGGGGGCTGGACAGGCGGCCGTGGAGATGAAAGCGTTTCCTGGACGCGCTCCTCATTTGCATGGCATCAGAAGCTGCTCAGAAGGTGTGACTTTTCCCACAGTGAGACCCCAGCTCCGCGCACAATAAAGCCAGGCTGCTCACCCAGAATTAATTAAAGGGGGAGGGGAGCAGAGGACGGGGCACCAGGAGTTGGGGAGCTGGAAGAGCTAACTGGAGCCCCTTTCCTATGCCCCCCAGTGTCTATGCACCCCAAGAACCATACTCTATCCAGAGGCCCTCGCTCTTTCCGGCAGACCTCGGGATGATAGCAGCAGGGACCGAGGACCCCAGCTTCTGTTTCAGGCTTTCCACTGAGTCTTGGCAATCCCTATCCACCTAGAAAGACTGAGCCTGGGTCTTGGGCTACAACCCTCGAATGCCTCATGGCTAGGAAGCCTTTGGTTGCCCCAACTCATGCCAGGTGAGGTGCCAAAAAGAGGCCTATAAGGAAGAAGTTTCTAGACTGTCCTGATAGCTGGGCTGTAGGAACAGCCAGGATGGAAGGCCTGAGCTGTGCAGAGTGGGCCAGCTCTGGGCACAGGAGTCCTGCTTCGGAGCCTCCTTCAGTATGGCATGACACTCATCCCAAAAGCCTCCCTCCTGCCTAGCTCTTCTCCCTGAAGACCCAGGCCCCGAGGTCGGTTTCTTCCCGAACAACTGTGCACTAGGCTTTTCAGTACCTGAGTCTGGCACCTTCTCTTCACAGCTCTGGCCTGGATCACCCAAAGTTAACTTTGTTCCATGTCACAATTACAAACACCAGCCTTGGCCCCTGACGACCCGACCTCCCCACTACCACCACCACCACCACCACCACCACACCTTGGACATTGGGCACTGTTCTAGTTCAGTTTTGGGGAGTCAGGTTCTTTAGACTTTAACAGCTCTACAGTCTGTGACTACACAGACAGCCAAAGGGGCGCGTCACCCCAACCACAGAGGGCTCCAGCCTGTTCTTCATTTTGGCCCTGGGCTTGGAAAGAGTTAGCAGAGCAAGGGGGTCCCCATTTGAAAGCTCCAAGGACAACTGAGAATCTTTCCACTTTTCCCTCCCTGTTCTGTTTTTCCCCTCTCGGGGATTAAAGGGGGGAAACTGGCAAACAGGAAGGGGGGCCTTAGACCGAGGGTGGCCTTGGACCTGCTGCTGGGACAGCACCTCAGAAGGAGCTATCCCTGGCGGGACTCACTCTCCAACACACATTTCTAATATGCAAGTAAATAAACATTTCAGTCATTTAATAGTAACTAGTACACAGCTACCCCACTGACACCCACCCCTAAGGGACTGAGACCTAGGCCAAACCTTTTGCTCCCTGCCCCTGCTTGGGGCACAGAGTGGCCCTGGCTGGTCTGGCCAGGTGCCCTGCCAGTGCTGGGACCTCAGGAGAACATCTGCCAGACTAGAGAGCCCTCCACCCACCCACGGGAACCCAGCCTCTGGTCACCAAGGGGCTTTCCTGAGAGCTAAGAAGACAGACACCACAGCCAGTGGAATACAAAAATAGAGCCTCTCTTTTGTTTAAAAAAACAAAAACAAAAAACCCAACAGCAAACAATATCCACAACTAGAAGGCTGCTCCCCAGCTCCTCCCCTTCGCAGTGCCTCGACCGCGATCTCTCACTGGAGTCCGCAGCGGGCTGCGCGGGGAGGGGCCGGGAGGGCGCCTATCGGGGCTCCGGGGCCCAAGTCCTCTGGCTGCCCCGCAGGCTGCGCGTGAAGGGCGGGTAGTTGAGGAACTCGAAGCGCAGACTCTGCTCGGTGGTGTGGTGGCCCCGCGGCAGCCGCTTCATGAAGTGCACCTCGCGCTGGTGCTGGCGCGTCTTGGAGCCCTTGCGGGGCCGACCCTTGCGGGTAAAGGCCATGTACCAGCCCTCGTACTTGGCGTTCTGCAGCGCAGTGTAGTTGTTCTCCAGCACGATCTCGGTGAACACGCAGTCCTTGCCTTTGCCGTTGCTCTGCAGGTAGTTGTGGGGGCAGACGTGATATTACGGAGCCTCCCTCCATGTGAGACAGAGGGCCAGCGGCCCCAGACAGCAGGTGGGCACCCCAGCAGATGGCGAGGGGAGCCCGAGCCCAGCCCCACCCCCTACCCGGGCACCCGCTCTCTAATCCCTCACAACCCGCAGCCCACCCGGCAACTTCCTGTTCTCCTGGGCAGCAGTGACACATGGCTGTCCACGGAGGGGCTGGGCCCGAAGCAGAGGGGCCCAAAGCCTGCCTGTTCTGGCCTACTGCCCATCAGTCTGGCCTGACTGCCCGCAAGCGTTTCTCCACCTGCCCCCCTCAGCATCTCCGGACTCAGGATCAGCCCCCAGGACAGCAACCCTATGCGGGGGAGGGGAGGCCTGGGAGGCGACTCTGAGGCCCAAACCCTGAAGCCCAGGAGCTGGGAGCTTGAGGCTGGAGAGGAGCCGTGACTAATGGGGCCATTTCAGAGCTAGGCCGAGGGGCTGGGCCTGCGGCTTACTGAACATTCCAAATGCTGGTACCATGTAATTGGACATAATAGCAAAGCAATTTGGCGATTTGTTAAAAAGATATATGGAATTTGCCATCACCACCCCCAACCCTTTTCCTGGCCTTCCTCCTTCATCTTCATAGGTTCTCCTCTCTCTGGCGTCTCACTCTCTCTCTCTTACTCCTCCATCTAATCATTGGACAGCCCCTAAGGGAACCAAGGTACCATGCATATCCACCACGCTGTTGAGATTAAAATGTACCACGTCCACAAGCCCCACTTCCCTTCTGGAACCTCACCTTGGCAATGAGCTTCCCCTTCTTGTTCATGCAGATATAGAGTCCTGTCTCTGCTCCACGGACTCGAACTCTGCTCCCAAAAGTGTCAGTTTCCACAATGAGCTTTGCTGTCAGGGAAGTCATGCGATGGTCACTACATCTGTGACCTCTGTGTTCCACAGCTTTACCTGGTCGGCTGGTCCAGGGCTGTGCCCTAACCCTGGAACAAATGCTCCAAGGGCTAGGAACAGAAAGCACAGGCTAGCCCCAGCCCACTTTGCTAAGCACTGGGCAGCCCTGAGAAGGAGCAACTCTTTTTTTCAGAACCCGAGACTTCAGCACTGGACCAGATGATCACAGTTTACAACCTGAGTTTCATAGAACTGTTTGGATGCATCAAATTGAGAAGCCCAAATCTCCATTCCTCTTTTCATGCTAGAAGCCAATATTATCAGGTTGAGGTACCAAGTATGTAGATTCCATAGCTAACCTTGAGAGATCTCACAATATCATAAACACATTAAGAACATCTGGGAACAGTGGTGGCCCCCCACCATGAGGCTAAGTAAAAACCATCCTGTTCTGTTGCTGCTGCTTTGGTTCTAGCAGTCCTGGCCATCTTCCACCCATTGGGCAGCCCTGCTCTTCAAGAAGTGACAGAGAGGAGCTGGAGAGATGGCTCAGCATACTGCTCCTGTAGGGGACCAGAGTCCAGTTCTCAAGACCCACACAGCAGGACCCACAACTGCCTGCAGCTCCAGCTCCAGGGACTCAAAAACCCTCTTCTGACCTCTGTGGGCACATGTGTGTGTGTGTGTGTGTGTGTGTGCGCTCTCTCTCTCTCTCTCTCTCTCTCTCTCTCTCTCTCTCTCGTGTTCACACACACTCGATTTAGAATGAGATGAGTCTCAGAAGAGGAGCAGGGCATTTCTCCCTCCTTCAACAGACTACTTTCTGGAACCAGACACAGGCAGGGGGATCCTGCCCCTTTCTCTCGGCTTCCAAGTCATCAGAGTCCAGCTCTACCATGTAGACTCCAACGACTCAATTGTCTTTTTTCTTTTAGCCTCCACTACAGATGGGCTTCTTAGGCAAAGGCCAAATGCTTTCAGGGGTGATAGAAGCCTGGGACTGAACTCTGTGCCCTTCTCTCTCTCCTTCCAGTGCATGTGGACAGTCAACTTGCCTGAGAGCCTGGGCCTGACCACTTCTTTATTCTCTTAGAGACTGTTCCCAAGAAGAGAGGGACGCTGACTAGACTTCCTTCCTAATACAGAACCCAGCCCTTTTCTTCCTTGAGAAAGCAATTCTCTCTCTCTCTCTCTCTCTCTCTCTCTCACCACTATCAGGGGTGGGAAGCCCAGGGGTCATCAATGAAGTCCCCACACTGCCTAGCCTCTAAGGCTTCCTCTCTTTACTTCCCAGGTCAGCAGGGAAGTGCAACAGTTCACCTCTCCTCCTGTTCACCTCTCCTCAGACCCAGGCAATCTGTTCATTCTTCTCATGCTTACTTGGTAGAGCAAGAAGCAGTTGTTTCTCTGTCAGGGAAGAATGCAAGCTAAGGAAGGGGTAAGAGGACCCTGCTCTGAAGATTCCAGCCCAGCATCATATGACAGAGTGGGTACCTCTGCCCTTTCTTGGGATCTCTCCACGGCTCTCTCCCTAGTCCCTGTTTTCAGAGCTCAGGACCCCAACTTCTGCCCTGCCGAAGGAACCCTGGAAGCCTCCCCTGAGTCTGAGGGAAGTCAGTACGCATCAATTCCATTACTGCTAGCCATGTTTCCTCTTCCCACCCCAAAACCCAAGGATGCTAGGCCATTTGCTCCAGCAGAGCGGACTCCGGAGGGGCCAGCCATTCTTTCCTTTTCCTTGTTGGGAAGCTGAGAAGGGCAGCAAGCAGCCAGTTTGGAGGGACAAAGGGCCTGAAGGCGGCTCTGCCAGCCCAGCGGGGGAGCTTGGCCACCAGGCAGGCTGCCCCCCACCCCCACCCAAAGAGCCCCAACTCTCCTTGGATCGATTTGGGGAGTCTGGCCATGCAGTTTACAGCAGCTTTCCCAACCAGGCTTTTGGAAAGCTTAGCATTTTCAAACCTATTCTTCCACCCCAGTGACAGATTTATCCCAGGAAAATTATGTCTCCTCCTCCAGCTTTGAAGGGAAGTCAGGCTACGTCGATGCTGAAAAAATGCAGCGAGACATACTCGATCCCCCAAACTGGCTGGAGAAGAGGAGAAAGTATTCAGGAAATGTTAAAAAAGGTGAAAGCAAGAAGAGCTTTAATCGCTCTGCCAGACGCAGGGGTCTCTCCAGAGATTCCCAGAGAACAATCTTTAGCCTCTTTTTTTTTTTCTTTTTCTTTCTTTTTTTTTTTTTTTAACATTTACAGACTTGCAAGTCCTTTCAAACTCTACATCTGAAAAAGAAAAGGCCTGGTTCTTTTTCTGTTTTATATCATTCTTCATTTTTCTCCTTAGCTCTTAAAATGCCTCACCTTTTTATTACATTTTAATAGAGTCTTCCTTTCTCCTTTCATGCTGGGTTAAGTTGGTCATTATTTAAAGGTTTTTAAACTTACAATAATCGCTTTCTAAAAACAACACCAGCCACCCGGAGGGTTTGCCTTCCTTGTGGTACCTCCAGGACCCTGGAAATTGGCCCCATCTCAGGACAGGAATATTGAATGTTTTAGAAATCAATCAGTCCTCAGCCCCTGCTCCGGTAGCTCCCTGTACTCAGCAGCCCAACGGGGAGCCGCCAGCCAACTCAGCCCCCTGGGGTATCCACAACTGGAGCCCGGGGTCTAACTTCCAGGCCTAGCCTCCCTGTGCAATTGACCCTACTGATCAGTTTGCAGCATCCCCCTGTTCCAAGCTGGGCAAACTGGGACTTTCTCTCGCTCCTTTCTCCCACTCGCCTTTTGTGGGCCCTGGCGACATATCCTCTTTCAAGAACTTCCCTTAAATCTGGGCCCCCTACCCTGAACCCTCTGCCTCCACCTGCAGCTGGAAAGAGGTATATGAAGGGGGGAGGTTGTAAGGGAGACTCTCGGATTCGTTCATTTGTGGAGTAGGGAAGAGAGGGCACCTGTGGGCCACATCCTCCCCAGGGTCCTTTCCCTACCATTCTCTCCAGCTGACCCTCAAGGCACCTTTTTTGCCTTAACTCCTTCCTTCCTCAGCTGGGGAGCTCGCAGGCCTCTCCGGCCACTGCAGCTGGGGCTGGCGGGGAGTGGCGAGGTCCGCAACTACCTTTCCTCTCCAGGGTCCGGGGAATGCGCCTTACCGAAGGGGTCTCCATCTTCTGCCATGGCGTTGATGCGCTTGTTGGCCAGGACCTGCACGTGCTTCCCGCTGGTGCGGCTGTAGAGCTGGTAGGTCCGGATGAGGCGGCGGCTGAGCTGATCCGTCACCAGGCTCTGCTCCCTCACATGCTGTGTAAAATTAGGTGAGGACTGAACAGTTACCTTTAGGAAATTGAAAAATACACAGCACGCCATTATAATGCTACTCCGCCCAGGGGTCCCGAGTGGCCCCCACTGCCCTTGTACCCACCTCCCGCCGCGCCAAGCAGCCAGCAGGGACTGGGGGCATCCCCCCAACATGCTGGCTCAGGCCACCAACCCCCGCGGGGAAGTCGCGCAGACCCAGCCCAGGATGGATGAACCCGGGATGAGGGAGAATCTGGACCCACCTGTTGGGAAACACCCTGGGGCTCCCGGCCAGCTCGGAGCAGGGAAGCGGGCTCCCTGCCCAGCGCAGGCCCCCCGCCCGGGCCTTCCTAGAGGAGCAGGGTGCTTTTAAGTAGCGAGGCAACGCTACCCGACCCGTGACATTTATAAAGACAAATTTACGGAGCAAATGTTGAGAGTGCAAAGGGCCTAGACTAACACGATCGTGGGCCGAAACCGGCCACAAGTCTCCCCAAGAGAGCAGCGGAGAGGATCTTTGCTGCAACTACAACCCAACTTCCCCTGACAAGAAACACACGCTGGCTCCAGCTCCCGCCTTCCTAGGAGGCCAGGTGTGGCTACAGGTAAAGTTCCCATCCACCCGACCTGGCTGGCACGCGTTTGAGACTCGCGGGGCTCAAGACCCTGGGGCTCTAGTCTCTCCACTCACTCGCTGTGTGACTTTAGGCAGGACACTGTCTCTCTGTTCCTTAGATCCCTCCTCGGGGTAGTTTGGGGCTGGATTTGTAAGGTTCTTTCCAGCCCTGCTGCGCTGGCCGAAGGGTCGGTCCTCATGTCCCTGCCCGACAGTGTCAGCCGGGTCCCCCGCGCCCGGCCCCCGCCTCTGCGCAGCGCTCCTTACCTGGGCTTGGAGGCAGAGAACCAGCAAGTGCAACAGCCTGTGGGAGACAAAAGCGGGTAGGAGAGAGGCGCGGGGTGAGCGGAGAGGGCGCGGCGGGCGCCGGCAGACCGGGACGCGGGGGCGACCGCGGTACTCACAGGCAGCTCAGCGCGGAGCGGGGGCTGCCCATGGCGCGCGGCCCCGGGAGCACCGAGAGCCCGGGCGGGGTTACGCTGTCCCACAGGAGGCCGCGGGGGGACGAGCCAAAGGGGCGGAGGCCGAGGATGGTCGGGGTGCGGGAGCCCAGCGACGATGCCGACGCGATTCCGCGGGTCCCGTGGAATGTCGTGCTCGCCGCGCGCGCTGATCCTCTCTGCACCGCTGCCCGAGCCGGTGGCCGCTGGCTGCTCAGGAGTCGGAGCAGGCGGGAGGGTAACGGGTCGGCGGGGTGGGTGGGGTGGTGGGGGAGGGAGGGGGAGGGCAGGGGCGGGGGGCGCCGCACCGGCCGCGAGGGGGGAACGCGGGGCGGGCGGCCGGAGCCCGCACCCCCGGCTGGGCGCTGGGGCCGGGTCGCCGCCCGGGGCGGGGGCGGGGCGGCCCGGGGCGGAGCGGCGGGCAGGGCTGGGATTGGGGGGTCTGGTCCAGGGGAGGGGTCTGGGGACCCGCGGGAGGGGCGGGGGCGGCTGGTTTGGGCACCTCCCACTACCCTTGCCTGTCTCCTCCAGCGTCCCTGGGGCGGGGTGATCCAGGGATGGGGGGCGCCTCCGGGACAGCAGGTTTGGTGGTGTCCTGTGCGCTTGAGTCCCGCGAGACTATTTCTCCGCGTGGGGCCGGGTCTGCTTACATATCTGGTCCCCTTGCCTGTTTTTGAGTCGCCTACTGCGTGCTTCGGCAGCACTTGTCCCCTTTGGAAGCGGCAGCTAACAGCGGAGTGCTCTGGATACCAATGCAGAGTGTCCCTTGTGCGTTACTGGAACCGGGCTCCTCCACCTTTCTGAGAAGCCAGGCCTGCTGGTTTCGTGTCTCAGAGTCTCCAAAGAGGCCCTTGGAGGAAGAGATGCCTCCTGTCACCCCACTATCACCATCAACCTTGCCCCTGCCCGTCCCCTCCTCACCCTCACTAGCCTGAAGCTTGAGAGGAATTGAGGCATCTATGTGGTAGCAGCCCAAAGGTCCCCGCAGGACCCACAGACACTGTCCCTCTTCTAAAACTGAGCCGTTGGCACGGGCAAAGATAGCTACATTGAGCAACTCTACCTGAGGAACGAGGACTTGGACCGAGCTACCTAGCATTTTCCCCATTAGTTTTCCTTGAGTCGGTAGGTATCTGGTGTCTTGTGTCAGCTGGGAGGGGGTGGCGCTGGTGAGAAGGTAGACTCACTGAAACTTTTCCCAGCCCCTACCTCATAGCTTTCTTCGTAGGACTTCTGGGAGCCCCGATCCACTACTTTGTTTCTGTGGGCACTGCCTGGGTAGGCAGAGATTTCCTGGGCTGGGTATCTCTGAGAAACAGGTGAAGTCACTGATGCCCACCCAGCTACCGCCTTCACATCCTCCATCGACTGACCCTGTGTCCCTGGGGTAGAGCTAGAGGTTCTTCTGGTGGCCCTAGGAAGTCTTCAGAGGTCAGAGAGAAGCAAGCAGGTCCTTGTCAATCAACACACTCCTGTTCTGCCTGCCTCTCTCCCTTTCTGTATCCCATCTTTCCCCACTCCCAACTGCAAATGCAAGCACGGAGCAGCTTACAGAAGGGCGAGTCCCGGGAGTCCGTCTCAGCCCTGCAAGCGGGCAGCAATATGTAGGACGGGTTCCAGGGAGATCCTCTCAGCCTTCCTCAGAGAAGTAGACTTCCTGAGCCCATCTGTAACTGCCTTCACAAATTCTAATCCACACAGACCTGAAGGCAAGGGACTTAGGAGTTCAGGACTTCCAGCTCATGGCGGAGCTGGCAAAATTGCTCTGTGGGCAGTGTTTGTTGGATGAATGGGTGGGGGGAACCTGGCTGAGCATTTAGACTGCATTCCACCCATGGTGACTTTCCCAAGGGGACTTGGCTTCACCTGCCAACAGATGATAGCCAGACAGACCAGTTATTGCACACTTGTATCTGGTAATGATTTGGCAGGCAATAGCTCCTTTCAGCCCCTCTGGGGTCCATGAAGGGGAAGATTGGTCAGAGGGGCTCTAGTGTCCATAAACAAGGCCAGCCCCTTCCTTTGGCTGTGTGCTTTGCTACCGGCCTTCAGGATGACTTGTGTGCCCCCTTTTGCCTTGCTCCAAGCTGGCAAAGGTGATGTCTGTTTGCTCACGGACTTTACTTCATGTGCTGTGAATAAGAGGCCCTCGAGAGTGTTTATTTTTGAATGTGTTAATGAGTGAATGCCTAAACAAAGCCTAGCCTCCTCCCGAAAACCAAGGGCCCTCTCCCCACCATGAACACAGCGCTCTGAAAATAAGCTTGAGGAACAAGACAAAGGCCGGGATCAGGGAAACCTCCTGTCTCTAGAGCCTGCAACCCAGTTCCTCCCGGAGAGTGTATGTATAGGGAAGAGCACCTGGCTGGAAGCAGTTCCTCCAGAGCTGAACCTTAGTGATCAACCATCTACAGTGTCACTGCCCTCGCCCCCCCCGCAGACACCAGCACTCTCAGAAGGGTCCCAGGTCAGGGTTTTACTCCTACTTTTTATCTCTGCCTCCCGCCTCAGAGAGACCAAATTCTTTTACATGTGGACACTCCTAGGAAGTTGGAGGGAGCATCACCCAAATCTTCGGGATTCTTCTCATTTCCCCCAAATTCTGTGTCTCTTGGAGGTAGAGAGAGATGGGTCTCCCTACAGTAGGCACCCAGAGTAGGCGGTGACTGACAGATGCAAATGTTCCACAGGGCTCCCGTAGGCCACTCTCCCTCCCTCCCGTGCTAGTTGGCCTCCCGGCCAGCTCCCTTCTTCCTTTATCTTATCAAAGCCCCGTAATTACAATTGCTATTTTGTTTCCTTGAATCTGCAATCAGAGCTCCCGCGCCTAGATGAGGGAGCGCCTGTCACCCAGATCTCTGAGTGACAGCCTGGCCACCTTTCCCGGCCGCCCCCACACTCCGCAAACACAAACACACATGCACACACTCCCTCCTGCAAACACAAACATACACTCTTTGCCAACACAAACAGCCCCCTCAGCAAACACGCGCTCGCCAGGACCCAAACGCACCCCTGGTCTGGCCACAGGCCCCTCAAATCCACACCCAGGCCTCCAGCGTTCAAATGCAAATCTCCGCTACGGCGTTAGCCGCTTCGTACCGAGATTGAGAGCCTCCATTCTTCGGCACCCCCACCCCTAGTACCAGGTTGCTGCTCTTTCAGCGTTCCCCAGACGCCATCCTATGCCTACAACCCACAAATTCTCTGAGGCCAGAGAATTGACAGCACTCCTGTTGTGTACTAGAGTGCAGAAAAGGGGTATCCTGAAAAGGTGTGATCTGGAAGGAGGGAAAAACAATTCCCAAGTCTGTCTGCGCCGCGCCACAAGGGGCCGGGAGACTCCTGAACTAGAAGGCAAATGTGGATTGGGCTCCCACTGCGGGCAGGACCCTGCTCTTAGTCCACCGCCGGGAGACCCACCGGGAAAACAGGCGAGAAATACAATGGGCGATCAGCGGAGTCACAGGGGGTAGCCACTGATGGGGGGCGGGGAGGTATGCGCACGGGGTAGTGAGTTTGGGATGTTTGAGGACAGATGGCTAGTCTCTGCAGGTAAGCACGTACCAAGGGGTTGGAGGCAGGAGCCCAAAGAAGGTAGGAAAAGAAAGGAATGCCACCAACTAACTCCTCTCTTTTAGCTCGAGTGCTTCGTGTGAATGAAAACATATATGCATTCAAAATTTAATGACTTATTCCCGCCTATTTCGCCTTAAATTTAGCGGTCGTTGGCCCTTAGGAATTACGACCACAGCAGTTTTAAGCACGCCCACCAGAGGGCGCTAGTTCCTCTTTCCCCTCCAGTTAGAGACTCTCCGCGAATGGCTCCTAGCCGGTCGGTGGTGGAAACACCTGGAGGTAAGGCCCTGGGCTGGAGAGGCCCCACGATCCTGATCTCGAAACAAAGAAGGGTGCCTTTTGTCTTCCACTTGAGAAAGGGAGACTGAAAACTTACCCCTAACTCATCACCTCATCACATAGATGAGGAAAAACTTCTAAGACCGAGAGGTACCACTTCCCTCTCCTCCTACCCCCTAGAGCCCAAGCTGGGGTCCAAGTCCCAGTTTTCTTGTTTCAGCTTCTCAAGTTTTGCCCGTGCTACCACACCTGGGTTAGTTACTGCTTTCCATACTGTGGGGGACACTCGCCCCGCCCCAACTCAGCCTCTTTGTATTATGGGAGGCCCCCTACTTGTTGGTCAGCTGGTGTGAATTGGCCTGATTCTCTCAGGCCCTGTTCTCTGTCCATCTTCAGCCTGTCTGGGGAAATAACCTTTTGTTTGTTTGTAGGGCACTAATGCCCGCTTCCCCCCCCCCATTAACACAGCTGAACTGCTGACCCCAGAGTTGGTTGCACACAGTCCTCACACAAGCACCCCCTTTCTCTTCCTGGCATAGCAGTAAGGTAGACCCCAGAAACACCTGATTCTAGGGAGGAGACAGTATGGCGGAGTGCTGGCGGGCAATAACCCCTCAGTCAAGAAGGCTGATTCCCATGGGCTCCTTTCCGCCCCCATATGCCAGGCCACCCGGATTCTGGTTTCCCTGTCACCCAATCTGGCCAGTTCCCTCCATCTGGCCCAGGGAATCAGGTTTCTAAGGGCCCTGCTCTACTCAACATGCCTCAGAGACCAGAAGAGCGAAGACGGGTCCCCAGCCCACCCCTCACAGGCCCTCTCCCTGGGCTGAGCCCCTCATGGGGCTAGACACGCACATTCCTCAGGTTTCTTAAGCCCACTTATCTGTCCCTCTCTGCCCATCAGCCTGAGTGCTGACAGAGGCCCAGACCCCTTGTTTGGAGGCTGATAACCTCCTGCGATGGCCCTCCCCCACCTGCAGGAACACGGAATAGGCTGGAATGGGAGGCAGAAGGGACTTAGGCCCGCTTTTGGTCCAAGGCCCTGGGGAAAAGGATGCCACATTTTCTCACCAGGACTAGACATCTACGACCACCCTTTGTACCGCCACAGTGCCATCTGGTGGTCCCTAGGGAAATCTCAGCGCTGGAAAAAGCCACACAAGAATTGCAAAAAACCAAACGCCACTTTATTTATATCTAAAAATGTAAAAAGTGCTTAAAATGTTCTGAACTTTT